TACTTTACAACAATTGTCCTCTAAAAAGTAATGTATCTTATAACTTATTATGAATTAGAATTAGAATTAGAATGACTAAATTAGAATGACCACCTCAACCAAAGCTTAAAGCTATTGGTGAAACGTATCATTTATTTAATATCTCCAATACGTCCACTCAAGTGAAGCCGAATTACATTTGAAGCCTTGCACTTGAAATATTTGAAATGGGTGGTGGTGGGATTCAAACTCAGGACCTATTATTCAAACTCTGATACCATGTTGAATGACCACCTCAACCAAAAGCTTACGCTATTGGTCAAATATATCATTTAATATTAGTATCTCCTATAGTATGTAGTGATATTTTCTTAAGGTAGTTGTGCGGAACACACCATGGAAGTAGAGATCAATTTTTCATCAATTCTTCTACTGTTATTTTAATAGACCTACGTACCAAATTTGGTCTATACATATGAACACATATTTGAAAGTTCTAGATCTGTGGGAGGATGTAGAAGAGGGTTATGATATTCCACTATTACCATGTAATTGTTGAGAAACCGAATCCCTAGGAGCGCGTCATTCATAAATTCACGTAAGATTCATTTTTTACGGTTTATTTATTTATATAAGTATGGTTTTATGATTAATTCTAGGTTAATTGTAGGATAATAAAAATATTGAATCTAGAACTTACAACGGCATTTATACATGATCCCAAAACTGCATTCTCAATCCAACAATGATATGAAACACGAATGACGTCCTTCAGAATCACGAACAGAGCTTCTCCAAATTTGTTGATGGCAAGAAGTTTCAAGAGTATTCTAAGATTCATAACTTGAACTCGGCGAGTCAGATTGACGACCCATTTGCTTTTAATCTAAGCTCTACGTGTTACGAACCTTCAGTAATAATTTTATGATAATCCTATAGTAAATGATGTTGTGGATTTCAAAACACTAGAGTTGTATAAAACCCAAGAATTCACGTTTGCTTTCAAAACCTCTATTCTTCTGTTATATATTCTGGATTAATAATTCCTCAAAGGGTGAGCTTATTCTTGAAAGAATTCCAAATCTATAATTGATAAATTGAGAGAGAAAACAAAAAGAGAAAAACTTTTCTCTAAAAAACGTCTAGCACATTAGTCTAGGGTTATGAGTCATTTTTCTCTGTCTCCAACCAAGGCTTGTATGTATAGGACTCTAGAAAGAGTTGTTCAAGGAAATAAGTAAAGAATAAAATTCATTCTTTCACAAGACACTCTAGCCGTTTCCTTCTCCAAAGTAAGGAAACTTGTTCCACCTCTCCTTTATTCCATTGGTTGAATCTTATTTTCCTCAATAATAAGATAATCAGTTGGGCTACAGTAGGGACCAAAGGAGAAAATATGGATCACGCTTCTAATAATCAAATTATACTCAAATTCTAAAAAAAAAATCATATTTAGTTTAATTATTTATTTTCCACTACCGAATAATTATTGCCCTCGCGTCCATATTCATATTACATTCGAAACCCGGTTGATCATTACATAGATTCCACCAACATTAAGATATCCTATAACGAATGTTTTAAAAACCGGACCGGGGATAGAATCGGACAGGCTACGTGGTCACGATTGGACCGGTTCAGCCGGGGTAACCGGGTTTTTTATTTTTTTATTTTTAAGTTATTTATATTAATTTTGGTGAGTTAAAATTGGTATTATTTTAATTTATTACCACACACTATTCGGCGGTTCCTTCGACCCTACACCTGGTGAAAAACACCGGGTGGGTCTTCTGCTGCCACGTGTTCGTTTTCTTATTTTTCTAAAACCCCTAAAGGTAAACCCTAGCAGGGAATCTATTATAAAATACAAAAAAGAGACACGTGGCAGCAGAAGACTCACCCGGTATTTTTCATCGGGTGTAGGGTCGAACAAATCCTATTCGGCTCACGCATCTTTTTCCTTCTACATTATTGTTTACCCAACACATTCTCTCTTAGATTTATTTAATAATTTATATTAGGTTTTGCAATTAATAATTATAATTATCTGTACATATTTTTGTACCACATTTCTTTTCTTAAATAATATTAAATTGTAGCCCAACTTCACATGTCCCCTCCATTCTTCCAACTTTTCAATTTATTCCACGTCACACCTTCACCATCACCGCACTCCCCCTTCACAGTTCTCCATTTCCTTCTCTTTGTTCTTTTCCACCCTTTCAGTTTCCCGTTGATGCAATATCCGCCACAATTTGGTCAACTACCATCGTCTTCGATCAGGTCCAGTCATCTGAATCAAGGATCCAGCCGTCTCCGTCAAGATTTGGTTAATTACCGCCACCACATACCAGATCCAGGCACCTTGACCACCGATACGACGACTTCTTTTTGGGGTTTATATTTTGAAAAAAACTCGGTTTTTCTTTTGGTTTATGGTTTTCCGGTGGAACCTCAAAATTCCCGATTCTATATCCTTTGACCCGGGTTTTTTATTCCATCGGTTTTATGGTCGAAATCGGAGCAGATTGGCGGACGCGGACGCTTTCTGGTTCAACCGGTCCGATCAAGTTTTCAAAACATTGCTAACCATCAAATAATTTATTCACTCCTAAATATATTAAATGTTTTTTTTGTTAGAGTATATTATATTATTTGATATTATAGAACTCATGTAATATTAGGATTCTAGTATGATTCTGTTACTTAGATTAGTTATGATTTAGTTACCTAGTTAAACTCTTCTCTTCTAATGTATATTCTTTTCCGACATCTTCTTCTTCTTCACGTGACAAAAGTCCTACTCTTTTGTAATAGTCAGTTAATCTTTTCTCTCTTTCTTTGATTTCTATCCTTCTTTAATTATTCGTCTTCCCCCACTCATATCTCTTTTTCTCGAGCATATAAACAACATAAAAAAACTAAAACTTCTCATGTTCTTTCTTTGTTATGTAAAACTATCTCCCTTCTATGATTGTGGCGGGTATCATCCTCTCTAAACACAATTTCTCTATCTCTCTCTCACATAAGGTCTCTCTCTTCTCTCTCGATTCATACAATTTTTTTTTTTTTGCAAAAGCAATTTATTTCCTCCCCTGTTATTTTCTTCTTTCATTTAGGCTTCATCAATTTGGCAGATATTTCTACAAATAATTTTTCTACTGTTGTATTTCGCGGGTTCTTATCCTGTCTTCACATTTGGTGTTTATTTGTTCCGATTGTAGGAGCGTGTTAGCAAGTGATTGTCCAGTCTTCACGTTTCGACTGCGGGGGCGTGTTAGAGTATATTATATTATTTGATTGTAATATTTCTCTATGTATAATCAATGCTAGTCAACCCATAAGTAATGTGGGTTTCTACTACGTCTTAATTCTCTTTTATCCAATTATATTCTTCCTATATTTTTCATGAGTCTTACCTTCTTAACTTATCTGAGTGTGTCTGATACGATATCTAGATGGCCAGGACTTGACATAAACAAAATTCATAAGCTACTCAATGGTTATTTGTCAATCTTATATTTCATAGTCGTGATTCTTTTAAACAATTAATTTCCTCCTATTAATTCTTAATGTATCTACTTAACACACCGGAGTTCATTTGACTCAATATATGAATTTTTCCCATTGTGACATCAATGTAGACATCATCAATTAAATGTGTGTGTTCATTATGTAGGAAGTAAGAGAGTATAATTTACGGTCAACTATAACAATGCAGTTTCATTTTAAATAGTGATGAAACAATTATTTCACTTTATCTAATTCAACAAATGTTGGATGTGGTAGCACAACAAGTCAAAACGATAACTACCAAAGTTATTCTTTGTTTACTGCACTAAAGATTTATCATTTAAATATTGTGCAACAATCTTTTTCCAATAGTTAGTCTAATTTCATCTTGATTGTGAACTATTAACTTTATATTCTAACGGACTTTCGGATCTTTTGGTTACAATGTCCAATTGAGGACATCCTTTCGAATATTATTAGAATATTTATATATAATTAATTAAATGCATCGAATTCCCTAATGCAAATTCTAATAAAATAATAATATACTATATATTCTATTAAATTAATAATAAATGTATGTAACTAAAAGCTAGACTTTTAGTCTATTATCCTAACAATAATCTCATCTTGGCTCGGATAAAAATTTAAAAGGAGAATAAATGAAAAAAAATCAAAGGTTGAGGCATGCATGGGCGCTGCGGTTTTACTGACGATTTAAACAATAATTTTATCTCTTGAGGTATTTTATTGAATAAGAATATATAAGAGATGAAATGATAAAAAGTATGCCAGCCTTGAAAAGATGAAAGATCATCCTTTTGTTAACATGTTTCTCAAGTAGGAAATCAATTTAAATTTTGTGGACGAATAGTTGTTGTGCAAACAACATAAGCCACGATGTAATTATTTTTAAGTATTTAAAACCCACAACAATTGCGATGATTAAGATAGAAAATAGTAATAGAAAATGAACTATTGCTATCTCAATAAATATGACGCAGAACGGAAGCACGGTAAAGAATTAATTTCTACGAATTAATCCTATAGGACACGATAACATTCGGAATCCACCGAAAACTCTTGAATCCACCAGAAAAATAGAGAAAACTCTAAATATTTTATTAAAATTCAAAATTTTCTTAAAATAAAGTCCTAAGGCAGCTATTTATACTAAAAAAACTGAAATCTTAATCCGATTTTTTTAGTAGATCTCCAAATTTTGGGAACAACCCAATTTACGGAATCTTAATCCAATTTTTCTATGATTTGATATTAATTTTCTAAAACTTGCCTAAAGTAGCAAAAACGAACTTTTAGGAGTCTAAACGACGTTGGATTGCTGAAATTTGACGTGTTTAATGAGATTTGCTCATGAGTTTTGTTCCTTGCGCCGTTCCACTTGAGATAGAGTTTGTTTCGTACTCAAATACAATTTGAGTTCGTAGAAAACCCTTATTTTTCCATAATTTCTTTCGATGTTTCCACCAATGCCCATAAATAACAACTCTTCTCCGAATCAAGTAGTTATTATGCAATTCGAATCCAATTTGACGTTCATTATCAATCTCCTCTTCTTCAAAAGAGCTCAACCTCGAGCTATGATGAAAATATAACAATGCATACTTCTTTGCAAACAACTTCAAATGCTCCACCAATCTTCCCGGCACAAAACTCTCACTTACAAAATCTTCCTCCAACCGAGGCATTAGAAAAATTGGCTTCATAATCGAAAATTCCAATGGCTCCACCAATTTCTCTGATACAAGAACTTCACAGCAAACACTATCTACAATTAGATCACATACTTCAACGCAATCCACTTGTTCTTTCTCTTCTCGTGCACCTTCCTCTTCTTGAACAAATTCTGCAACTTCAAACTCTTCCTCAAATTTACTTGTAACACCCTCTTTAAACTCGTCGACCTCTTCTTTAAGCTTGCTAACATTGTCTTCTACCCCATTGTCGCTCTCTTCAACTTTGTTGATGCTCGCTTCAAGCTCGTTGACTGTCCCTTCAACTTCGTCGATGTTCACATTGATTTCGTTAATGTCATCGTTAATAATAGCTACGCTACTTTTAACTTTTACGACAATTTCCTCTTCAACTTCGTCAACTCCTACGTCATGCACCAAATTTGGAGGTTGAATAACGAATGAAGTATCTTGTGCCTCCTTAACTTTGACAACGGGTGGAACATCTTCGGTTTTTCTAGAAGAACTATTTCGCTGATAATATTCTTCCCTCCATGCTAACTCTTGAGCCTCTTCAAGGGTGTAGAATGTACGCCACCCCATCCTAAGACGTATTGAAATATTCAATCCTGCCAAGTACGTGAAATTTCCGTACTTTCGGATTCTTGCAGGTTATTTAAGTTTGCTAGTCTCACAAACTCAGCAGTATACTTGTTAACAGATCTACTCCCTTGCGAACAATTACGATATAGTTGAAATAGACGTTGCTCATAACCTAGGGGTAAAAAAACGACCCATCAACATTTTTCTCATCCTCCTCCATGATTGGATTGGAACTTTTCCTTGTCTAGCTCTCTTCCACTGTATCCCATCCCACCATGCAGCTGCACTACCCTTTAACTCACACCTCACCAATTTTACCATCTTATTCGGCAAAATATCCATTAATTCAAAATACCTTTCGACTTCTGATACCCATTCAATAAAATCTTCAACTTCAAGAAAATTTCCACTAAAAGAAGGAATTTCAGCTCTTACCCGATATTTATCACGGTCCTTTTGCCTCATTATAGGCGGGGTTTCTTCAAACTCAAAGTTGCCGCTCACCTTTGAATAGTCGTCATACCTTGATTGAAGTTGAACAGGTCTATGATAATTGTGTCTAACATATGCACCTCGGGCTACACCGTCGGCAATCATCATGTTAGATTCAGTCCTTCTGTTTTTGTTGTCAAGGGCAAATCCCTCGCGCACCAACCATTGATTTTGAAGTTTTTCAACCCCGCGGTCATCGCCAACGTAGTTGTTGTCTCCATGTTTTGCACCTTTCGCCATCTAACCAGGAAAAACCTCGCTACTGATGCCAACTGACGCAGAACGGAAGCACGGTAAAGAATTAATTTCTACGAATTAATCCTATAGAACACTATAACATTCGGAATCCACCGAAAACTTTGGAATCCACCAGAAAAATAGAGAAAACTCTAAATATTTTATTAAAATTCGAAATTCTTCTTAAAATAAAGTTCTAAGGCAGCTATTTATACTAAAAAAAACTGAAAACCCTAATTATACTAAGAAAATACTAAAAATTACCAAAAATGGCAAAAACGAGTTAGAGTCTGATTCTAGTAGATCTCATAATTTTGGGAACAACCCAATTTACGGAATCTTAATCCGATTTTTCTATGATTTGATATTAATTTTCTAAAACTTGTCTATAATTGCAAAAACGAACTTTTAGGAGTCTAAACGACGTTGGATTGCTGAAATTTGACGTGATTCATGAGATTCACTCATGAGATTTGTTCCTTGCGCCGTTTCACTTGAGATAGAGTTTGTTTCGTACTCAAATACAATTTGAGTTCGTAGAAAACCCTTGTATAATTTCTTTCGATATTTCCACCAATTCGAATCCAATTTGACGTTTCTTATCAAAATACAACAAAAATAATATTGGATGTCAGATTCAAGGTGGTGCCTTAAACGCAAGCATTGCCGCACTCACAATGCAAATGGTTTAGATGTTTTGAGATTTAAAACAAGATACAAAAACTTCTTATTTTATCTAAATGAGGATTTGGCTGCCTATTCAAGTGAAATAATATTACTTTAAAACGTCTTAAGAGACTTAGTCATCCCCACAGTCATGTAATATTGCTAAATGAGGATTTGGCTGCCTATTCAAGTGAAATTAATAATAAATTATCGTGCTTCTCAATACCATAAATAAAATTGAAGACTATTCCCGAAGTCCACTTGAAGAGCCACTCTACAACTAATCCATACACATGTATTTGGGGTTCAAAGAACTCTATTGTTAGTCTATCAATATTCATTACTTATATTGATGATCAACAAGATTTTGCTCGACAATTTTCTTCTTAAACGTTTAAATCATAAGTGGTGAGGGTGTTTCTGGGAGTAGAAAATTATGTGGAAAGCAAAAGTTTTTTTTAAAATTCAAGTTCTTATATTAGATAATGAAAAATAATACACCTGAAATGAGTTTTAATATATTCAGCGAGGAATATTGAACACCTGCTAAGTGCTTCATATAGTCCACCAAAAAAATGGAGTTTGTGAAAGAAGAAATAAATATATAATGAAGATTATTAGATGTATGCCTCATGACAAAGAATTGTCAAAGAAAGTTCAGGGATATAATCGCTTAGTCTTGCTAATTTTCTCGTATAACACAATACCTACTAAAGAAATGAAGGATAAGACTCCATTTGAAGTATGGCATACCTAGAAACAATCACTTAATTTTCTTAGAGGCTTTTCTTGTGTGTCCCTCTCACATTTTACAAATCAAACTCAAGCGTAATAATTGATAAGATGTTCGAAAAAAAATCCTTGTTGAATATATTTTTTTCCTCTAAAGCCTACAAAGTTGTATTGACCTCAAAGTGAAAATAAATGTTATTGGAGATGTGTTCTTCAATGGAGATGAAAAGTGGAATTTGGAATTGCAGACAAGAAAGATACAATTCAATCTCTATTTCAACCACTATATCCTTGGCACGAAGAACTCGAAAATGATCCACCTATTTGTAGATAAAGAATTATCTCTAGTATATGCCAAATAAGTATGATTTATTGCATTCAACACTCATGTGTTTAGTCTAATTGCTAAAATATTCCAAAGTTGTTGAAATGAAAATATTAACACAATTTTGTATGTTTTTACTCGTTGCAATTTTTGTTGTTAGTTAATCATTTTGATTGACACTATTTATAAGTGACAATCCCTTTTTATGTCACAATATATAATTAATCACACTCCGTTAGTTGCAAGTACAATGAAAATATTTTTTTGCCTAACCTTGTAAAATTAGGTGTTGTCACTCAAAAGATTATTTTTTATAGTCATGACTAAAAAAAAAAAGGAGATGTCATGAAAAAATAAAAAGACTTGGGATATTATTTAATGACTCGATAATATAAATATTGTTGGAGTAGAATGGTTATTTAGAAGTGTAACACACCCATTTCGTATCAAATAAATGTGCTATTTGTTATGAGCTTAGAAGTAGGCCTCCTACTCTTATAAGACACTAGTATATTCCATGAAATATTGGGGTGCGCTTGTGGTAGGCATGTTGATGACCCGATGACCAATGGGTTGGCTAACGGATCAGGTTGAAAATCCCGTAGCTTACAAATAGTATCTGAGTTGACCGAAGACCGTATTTAGTAGGCTCAAATATACCCGTATCTTGTAGCTTCTTCAATAAGGATTACACATTGTGTTTCATCCCTCTCAATGGGGATTATGCATAGAGTTCAGTTATATCTATGAGGTAAAGCTCACATAACCACATTTTTTTAATGTGGGATTGGGGTGTTAAAACTTCACCACTTCAACCCTTGAGGTCTTCGTCAAGGCCCAAACCAACATTTCAAGACTTTCCCGCTAAAGAACTAGCGAACTCTTCTAGGCCCCATAATATCAACTAATGTACAAACCCCATTACTAGAGCCCATAGCAAAGTTGAACGTATTCAAGCGGACTAATTGTTGTTCGTGGGGTCGACTTCGATGCCAATTGTAATGCTCCACGCTTTTCAACATGGTCCATTAGCCAACCCAATGATCCATTCAACATCGGGTCGACGACGGACCTACAATAAGTCCACCCTAATAATATGTGGAATGTTTTGATAATCAGTAGTAGTTGTAGGGGTCTGATTACAAGTTCACCACATAATACCGTATGTTTTCAATGTGGGATGAGGATGTCACAAGAAGAAAACTAAATGTAGACGGTTTTGACAAATAAAAGGCTAGCATGTTAGTTAAATGGTATGTATATTCTTTTCCGGGTAGACTGTTCAAACACTTGCGCCCATAAATAGATTGGATACAATACCACTCTTGTTTGCAGCTCGAAAAAACTGGAAGTTATTCCAACTAGCTAGATATAAAATTTCAATTTGTAAATGGTGCATTGTAGGAGGAGACTTATATTGAGCAGATCGAGGAACTTGTGAAAGAAAAGGAAGACGGGAATGTCTACATGCTGAAGAAGTGTTGTATGGCTTAAAACATGCCTCAATAATATGTGGTACGGTATTATTGATGAACTTACTAGTCCATGTTATGAAAATAGCAAGTCTGCAGCTACTCTCTATGTGAAACATACAAGAAATTAATTGCTCATGGTTTTCATTTATGTTGATGATGCCTTATTAATCGAAGGAAATGTGTGGAGCATATCAAGGGGTTCAAAAGAGAAATGGAGCAAGTAATAACTTAGCTAAGTGTAATAACATACTTATGTGAATGGAAATAAAGCATTTGTGTGGCAAAGAAAATACGCCATGGGAATACGTACTAACGAGATTATGAATGGAGGATTACGAAGTAACAACCACACAAATGATCCTGAAAGAGAGCTTAAACAAGGGGGACGACCAAACTTTTACTGTATTGTGAGTCTCATATGCCAGTCATTTGCATCTTAAATTAGCAAAAAGGGTGGTGAAATACATTAACGGAACAATTGGCTTTGGTATGTCAAGTTTAAGAAAAATCAATGTTTCCGACAAGGGGACGATATAAAAGTAGATTTAGTTTTTGTTTGGAAAAAATAAGATCTTATAAGAAACGTTTTCCTAGTGAATCAAGAAGATGGATAAATATGCTCAGTTCACTACGAAGGTGGTACTTGATGTCACTACGGTAGCTGTCAATCAAGCACTATGGTTAAGAATAACCATGTGTTACTTGTCTAGTTGAATTGTATACATGTCCTTGTAGATAAATAATAAGATACTATATATTTAAATCTCTCACACAATTCAGTCTTTCATGGAAGGACCAATTGTAGTGCTTCAGAATTAACTAGCTGTCATTTTTATTAAAACCCTTATTACGTGTCAGCATGATTGAAACTTTCAAGAGAATCAAGACTTGGGTTTTGAAGCATCTAATGCAAAGGGTTACTTTAATCATCATAGAAGTACATTTTGTACACGTCAAGTCGTAAATAATACGCCTTCGAAAGTTGTAATTCAATTCATCTATTGCTCAAATTTATGGATCGACAATGGTAAAATTATCTTTATTTTCAGTTTTTCTTCCATTTTGTTTATTCA